CCATCAACTGCATACTCAACTCATCATTCAGTCCTTCCAGGAATTTCTCCTGCTTAGTTGCATCTGTAGCAACGTCATCTGGGGCATAGCGTGCTAGCTTACTAAACTCCTCCACATACTGGCCAACTGTCCGTCCTCCTTGGCGCAAGTTACAAAACTCACGCTTCTTCATGGCCATTTCTCCTGCTGAAACATGGGCAGTACGAAAAGCCTGCTGAAACTGGTCCCATGTGACAGTGTTGACTGGGAAGGTGGCTGTGAAATTCTCCCACCAGGATGCTGCCGGTCCTTCTAACTGATGTGCGGCAAACTTAACCTTCTCCGCATCTGTGCATCCTGCTGTGGTCAACTCCCTAGCTATCTTGCGGAGCCAATCATCTGCTACTATCGGCTCGGTGCTACTGGAAAACACCGGCGGATTCAGCCTAAGAAAACGGGCTAAGTGGTCAACAGGTGGTGGTGGTGGTGGGTTGTTGTTGTTGTTTCCCTGATTCTGATTCTGAACTAGCAACTGCATCAAGGTGTTCTGCTGCTGGATCAACTGGGTGAGCTCCAGCGGAAAGGCAAATCCGGGGTCACGTCTCGGAGGCATCTGAGGGTTTAGAAAAGATGAGATATAAGAATAGAGGGGGTCTAAAGAGAAAACACTACCCATATGCACATGAGGCAAAAGCACACAATTCACTTCAATCAATCAAACAAAGGCATACAATCGGTCTAACTATCGCATGAGTGCTCGGACTACTATATTTACATGGTGGACTACTACTACTGATGAGGTGGTTTACTAGAAATATTCTACGGTTATAGACTCCACGATATCTGCTCCTGCTTCATCAACATAATCATCATCGCTACTATCTTGTTCCGAGTCGGTGCCGTCAATGATGATGTAGTCTTCCGGGCTAATCTCCTTGGGTTCTTCGTCTTCATCTACTGGGGTCGGGCCTCCCATAAATACTGCTAGCTTCATAGTTAGGTCGGCATTCTTATCCACCAATACTTCAATTTCTTCTTCATAATCTTCACGTGTAGCCTTGAGTTCTTCCTCTAGTTCCTTGATTCTAGTCTTTGCCTTCTTCAGATCTATCATGTCGGCGCACATCTGATTCTCCTGTCGTCGAATGTGCTGGTTTAACTCCTGGATAAAAGCTGCAATTGATCTATCTTTCCTGGTGCTGATCATCTCCCAGTGTTCATCTCGGCGCCCACAAATCTGGTAGATAGTATCCTTGATATCCTTGCGGTAGACTTCTCCAATGTGTCACATGGCGATGTGAGCTGCCATACTCTTTCCTAGACTCCAAGTTGGTGCATCAAAAGAAAACTCTATGGGCTCAGTGATTGGCATGAACGTCCTTCCTGGAACTTGAACTTGTATCATCCAGCGCTCTTCTTCAGGTAAAGTGGCGTTGTAGGTTCCCGTGAAGCTTGGTACTCCTATGTTCAGGTATCTAGTGACTTCCTTCAAGTGGCGTCCAAAGGGTGTATCTTCATCCGGTTGTGTGAACTTATTCCTTGCATCCGCCATCCTAAAGAGTAGAAAAGATGAGAGGTCAGAAGAGAAGAGAGTGAGTAGTGATCTAGGTCTTTAGCTTAGTGGTAGTGTCCTACAGTCAGCGTGTGCTCTGATACCATCTTTGTAGCGACCAGACCTCAAACAGTCTGATCTCTGTGCTCCGGTGTCATCCCTGGATCAGTAATGCTGACACCGCACAGTACTCGGAGGATTTATAGCAGAGTAGCAATCACACACTTATTACATCGAGTGTCTCAAAAGAGAACTTATTACAATAAATATGGCTTAAGGCCATCTAATAACGATAACAGCGGAAGGCTTGGAAGGTAAGTGAGTCCATCAACTCCAACGGCATCACTGAGTATAGAACCACGACCTAAAAACTCCTTAATCGTCTTCTGAAAAATCTGCAACATTAACATTGCAGCCCGAAAATGGGTCAGCACATGGAATATGCTGGCAAGGTAACACATAGAGAGTAATGGAATGCAACAACTATACTATATGCATATTTGGCTAGTGGAAAGCTCTATGGTTACTGTTTTTGCGTAAAGCCAATTTTCCCTACTTCAAAGGAATAAATTTAATTACTATCATGGTGGTTGTTAAACATTGAGAATGGTTGACAGCATTCTCAATCCCAATTAAAGTAACATCATTTAACCCAACAAAATTAACTTTAGAGTAACATGTTGAGATTCACATGATAATCCAGGTACTAGATACTCAAGATGTCCATAACCGGGGACACGGCTAACCATGATTAGTTTATTACAGTCTGCAAAGGTTTGCGCACTTTTCCCCACAAGACTCGATCGCCTCCGTTTGGTTTCTCGCACTACAGGGTGTTTGAGAAAACGGATGACCGAGACATAGTCTTTCAGAAGCGCTAGCACCTTATGATCGGGTAGACTGTACCACCTACATCCCCTACATATGCTAGTCTACCACTGTAAGAGTTCGCACAACTTAGTCAACTATGCCAGAGCCCATAATGGCTTGTGGCTGCACACGGAAGTTTCTAGTATGAATAATCTCATGATCCCTTTGAGCCTGGGTGGCGGTCCAAAAGAAAAACAGGCAAGTCCTAGAACCCCAGGTGCCTCAATCCACCCAGGTGTGTGTTAGGTTGTCACTTAGATAAACCATTAATTAACAATCTCACATCTGTCATGGATTTCACTCACGCAATCCACGTCTACTAGCATAGCATGGCATAATAAGCAAACGTAGAAGTAACTCCCAAAGGTTTGATAATAAACAGGTAATAGGTACTACCTCATCTACTTCCCATCCCACAATTTAATTAGATCCTATTCATGCAATGTGTGAGGATTGATCTAATGCAATAAAACTGGGTTGTAGAAAAAGGTATGATCAAAGTGTTACTTGCCTTGCTGATGATCCGCGAAACCTAGAGATTCAACGTAACAGGCGGCGCACTCCGGGTATTCTATCGCAGACAAACACACAAGCATACAATAAGTACTCATCTAATGCACAGGTAAAACTCAAATAGAAGATCTAACCAAAAAGTTCAACTTAAGAACCCTGGTTGGCAAAAAGAATCAAATCGAACGAAGCAAAAGTAAACAAACGGCGAAAGAAACAACTTCGTTCTAGTAATCTGGATCTAAGCCAAATTTTTACAGTAGCAAAAACTTGTTTAAGTTGATTATTCGGAAAGAGGGTTTCGAGACGAAACTCCAGGCGCTTGAATCGCCTGATTCCGATAAACGAGCGAAAAGTTATACTAAAACGAAAATCGGATCAGAAATCGCGATCACAAAATAACCGCGAAAAAATCCGACGAAAAAGAAAAACGACGAACAGATTTTTTTTAAACGACACGAAAAACGAGGCGGCGGCGAACCTCGGGCGGCGCGCTGCTCCGGCGAGTCGGCGGCGGGGCGGCGGCGGCGGTGGGTGGCGGCGGCGGCTAGCTAGGGTTTCGGGCGCGGGCTGGGCTCTCGGGCTGGGGCAGCGCCTTATAAAGGCCTCGGCCGGCGGTGTCCTGGCCGAGTACGGCCAAAAGTCGGTTCCGCGTTTTTTTTATAAATCCGCTCCGAAGAAAAATAAAAAGAAATACTAAACGGACTCCAAAAATCATGATATAAATTTTCTCGGGTTCCTAAAATCAAGCCTGATAAAGTGAACATTTATCTAGGCCCAAAGTAAAACTTTGAAAAACACGCATTTTTCCTAAATTCAATAAAAATACCGAAAAAATCCAAAATAAATCTTATTTGATTTTTTTTATTAAATCCTCAATATTTCTATATTTTGGGAAAGTCATTTTATTCCCTCTCTCATATTTTTGTAATAAAAATAATTGATGATAAAATAAATAAAATCAAATGATCATGTTTACAAAATTTGAGGAAACTCAAATATGTAAATAACGAAATCCCCAACTCTCTCCATGGGTCCTTGAGTTGCTTAGGATTTTCTAGGATGAAAACCAAAAGCAAAATAAAATATGATATGCATGATGACCTAATGTATAACATTCCAAATTGAAAATTTGGGATGTTACACTTGTGTTCTAACACATACGGCCCAACAGATATATTTGTTTAAGCAATGTTTCTAAAAAGGTTAATTGAATAAATGCAAAGAGAGCCTTGGCTCAGTGGTTGGGCATGCGGTTGTGCAGCCTAAGGATCCGAGTTCAATTTCTAGAATTGACAGGTGATGCATAGGGGTTTTCCTCCATTTATTGAGAATCAAGTTTGATGTGTGATGGAACCACTCAACCACTCATCAAAACATATCTTGATACTCATTTAAAAAATTCTGAGGACCATGTTTATCTTGGTACTCATACTAAAATGGCCGTATACATTCCTAGTTGGTGCAGAGGTCGGGGAAGTGAAATTCTCCCCTATTTTTAATTGGCTGTGTGCATCATAGTTATGCAGAGGCCGGGTGTAATGCTTAAACCTTTTAAGTAATAAAGCGTCCCCTTTCGAAAATTGAATAAATGCAACTTGAATCGTGGCGATTCCGAGAAACGACACTGCAATTTCAAAGTTTGGAAAATGCCACTGCAATTTTTGCAAACTTTGAAAAACGCCACTGGAAATGGCATTTTTTAAAGTTTGGAAATTGCGGTGGCATTTCTCGGAATCGTCAGAATTTGAGTGACATTTATCCAATTAACCCTTTTAAAAGTGTGTTTCCCGGGCAAAGATGCCAGTTTCATCAGCACGTAAGTATAGTTTTGATTGGCCTCTTTGCATAGTTTTACGGCATTTCATCATCAAGGAGAAGCGTGCAGAACAGTAGAGCCAACAAGATTCGTGCTTGCTCTCATTCTGTTTTATTTTTTAAATTTTTACTGTAAGACAGCCAAGGTACATACAGAAGCATACAGATACCGAGATACAGATCTCCAGATCTCACGTGGTTACGAAACATTTGAATTCTCTACACCGTACTCGTGTGCTTATACAACGTCCGATTCCTGTACATGAACGTCTCAGCCCATGGTGTAGGACGGAGATGGGAGGTTTATGACAGTGCTCTTCACCTTGGTCATCATGTTTATGCTGTTGGTTATCCCCTGGGATCCTATTCCACTGTCCTTCAGACCCTGCAATCCACAGAGACATCACATCATATGGCAACTGGAAGGAGAAAACGAAGTTCTCGGATCAATTCCACAGCGACGTCGAGTCGCGGACACGGTAGCGACGGTACCTGGAAGGGGAAATGGTCCGGACCTCGAGCCGGGGCGGAGTTGATCTGCACAGTTCCACTCTCCATTGCATCACTGATCATGATTGCCTTGTTGATGTCTCTTGTGAACACACATCCCTGAAATACACAAACAATAAGCATCCAAGATTCATAATACGTAGCTTCAAAAAAAATTTAGGGGTTTATATACATGATGAAAGATTCATAATAATTTGCTTTCTTAGTGTATAGATAAATAAACCTGGAGGCCAAAGTTGCTGGCGTTACAATGGTGAATGCCTTCCTCGACCGAGTTGATCCTGATCACGGGCAAGACAGGGCCGAAAGGCTCCTCCCAAGCGATCCTCATATCAGGCCGGACATGATCCAACAGCAACGGCCAGATGAGGTTGCCTTCTCTCCTGTACTCTTGGCAAAAAGTTGCACCTTTCTCCTTGGCATCCATTACCAAGCCTTCAATGAAATTTGCCGAGGATTCTGTTACAACTGGGGTGATATCACAGTCATCCTCTGGTGGGCCAACTTTCAGCTTTGCCACCTTGGCATTGACCTTCTCCACCACGGTGTCGGCCACCGCTTCCATGATCAGAACCACTTTGACTGCAGTGCACCTCTGGCCACTGTGTTGATCACAAGTTCATGTCATATGTGAGTGTAACTTCAAGGATCACCATGGGTGCAAATAAGTAAGATAAGAAAGACAGAAAGGAAGCACAAGCATAAACTGGAAGAAAAAGGCACAATGTTGAACAATACTCTATGACACCACAATACTCTATGACACCACAATACTCTATGGCATATTGTGAACAATACTCTATCTATTCACAATATGTAGTATGACTTATGACATGAGGATGGGAGCATGTGACTGTGAGCTAAGGAAAAGCATATGACACCACTATCTGTTATACATGGCACAACTTGGATGACATGTGTTCTGTTAGCTAAGATGTGATATACAGACATTTTTATTCATTTCCAGTTGTTGCTTGTGGCTCTCTAAGGAATGGCAGGCCATAAATGCAACAATTCCAGATGCCCAATGGATCAAATCGGAGAAGTGCTATGCACACGATAAACTTTGGACGATGCAGAGACGATGGTTAAATCTGGCCGGAAGTACGTATGTTTGAACAAGTCGCCGGCCGCTGGATTGTTTTGTCGTCCATAAATCGTGCACTTGTATCGTGCATGGAGTAGTTTCGATCAAATCGTATGGAAGACGTGTGGTTTGGCCCTATGAAACACCACCCAATCAATTTTCTTATTTCGGTACCTGTATGAGAAGCCTCCTTTTACTATGTTTGCCGCGACTAGATCGAGGTCTGCATCGTCCAGCACAATGCAAGCATCTTTTCCTCCGAGCTCCATCTGAAGCGGGACCATCCCGGCCTTCTTTGAAATGGCTATGCCGGTATCACCTCCCGTGAAACTAGGAAACAAACAAAAAGATGAATTTTTCGCCTCCGTAAAAAACACGAATGCTAGAAGCAGAAGCAGCTCATTATTTACCTTATGCAGTTGACTCCAGGGTGCATTGTGAGAAAATCACCTATTTCAGAACCTTTCCCAGTAACACAGCTTATCAGGCCCTTTGGGAAACCGGCCAGGTGAAAGCAGTGTACCATATGGAGCGCTGCCACCGCGCCCTGATTTTGCACAGTAGCATTTCAGAATTCAGCTGAAAAAATTCAGTAAAATAAAAATGCAGTAACAAAATAAGTATCTATGAAAATCATGTACCTGAGTCGGAGGCTTGAGCACAAGAGAATTGCCAGCAATCAGCGCCGGGCCAATCTTAGAAACCGCCAGGTTGACAGGATAGTTAAATGGCGGGATTGCCAAAACTACTCCAAGAGGTACCTTTATGAATGAGATGGCATGAGATGCAGAGCAACATAACATCGACGCATCATTAGTGTAGGGAATTTGATACAATTCAGGGAACAAGGAAGCATATGTAGAATCTTAAGCCTTATATATTCAGACAACTTATAGGAAAGAAAGATGGCTAAACCTGCTCATACTTCTATATTCAGACAATTTTTAATAAACGAGAACAGATCAACAGTTTGTGGGACTAGAGCACACACACGTCTCGCATGATTTATCAGACGCCAGGGCTAATAAAACTACCCACGACGAGCCGTGTGAAATAACTGAAATGCAGGTGTACCTTGGAGCTCAAACAGTACTTGTTGCGCTCATTACCGGGGAAGCTATCGGATACCAGCAGCTTGCCCTCCCCCAGTATCCGGACACCCTCCTCGGCCGTGTACGACACCAAATCGCCGGATCGCACCACCTATACCAAACCAAACCACGCATCTCTGAATTGTCTCTTAGCATCAGAAGAAGAAGAACCACAATTTTCAACCACAGCAACAAAATAAAAGGGGCCACATGGGCAGTGCAAACGCTGGTGACCTCAGAAACGGCATCCTTGGCCGGCTTGGCGATCTCCTTGACCAGACACTCGGCGATCGGGGCCTTGTGCTCCTTGAGGATGGCCGCCGCCTTGTGGAGCAGCTCCGCTCGCTTCCACAGCGGAGTCCGCGCCCACGCCTTCTGCGCCACCTTGGCGGCGTCCATCACCTTGTTCACCTCCTCCTGTGTGCATGCTGGACAAGGGCGGCCAAACCAAATTCATCAGGAATAAAGTTCTCGGAATCTGGATCTTGTCATACGATCCTACGCAGAAATGCTACTTGGATTCTTTCTCATATGATATATGCGGTTCTGCCATGGGACCTCCGTTTCAAACGATTTCTGACCACGTTGCTCAGCGAATTACAAGTCAGGTTCCAAAGTTCGTTTCTACCATGGAGAATTCTCATCAAGTTCATTCAATTGGGGCCGGTAAAGAATCGAAAGGGACATCGGTCAATTCGTAAAACTAATGGTGAGTGCGTGCGGCCAGGGTACAGTATTAGTTGCACCGATGAAACCTATGTTTGCTTCGTAAGTATCGAAAGAATTCAACGACACTAATAAGTCACCGTCAAGCATTCAATCACTTCAGGCAGCAAAGCAGAGCAGAGCAATCTCAGTCCCTCTCCCCCAGACCAGGGGGCACACTAGCTGTTCACACAGCCAGTCACACTAGCTCCCGGAGCTAGCGCATGCTGGGTTATCGTCATCTGAAAGAACAAACGAGAGGAGGATCAAGCGTGGCACCTTGCACCCTGTACTGCGTCTGGCGGGTGGTGGGGTTGACGATGGCGACCGTCTTGCCGGAGGCGGACGCGCGCCACTCCCCGTCGGCGTAGTACTTGTAGACCTCGCCGTCCAGCACGTCCGCGAACACCCCCGTCCCCGCCATCGGGGAGGAAGAAGAAGAAGAAGAAGCAAGGGGGCGTACGTGCGTGCGGTGTGCGGTGAGCGCTGAGCGGAACGGGAGGGACACACTGCAGGTTAGCCACTAAGCACACAGCTAGTGGCGGTGAGGGGCTCGGGGGGGACGGTGGTTGGTGCTGATGGGCGCGCGAGTGGTGCAGCTGTGGCGGGGCGGGATTAAGTAGGGATCGGAGGTGGTGGAGGAGGAGGAGGCGCCGAGGATGATGGCCACGCGTGGGCGGGTGGTCGGCTGCGACGGGTGTGATGGAGAAGCGAGGAAACGGACGGAAGAAACTACTGCAAGAATAGTACCATACCACGCGACGCGGGAGGAAACCTCGTGCGCCTATACGGGTGGCAGTTGCCGCACACCAGGCCGTGTGTGCGGCTTTGGACTTGGCATCCCTCTGGCCGTCAATGGTAACTCAGAAAATCGTCGAGCTCCCGCCGCACGTATCAACCACTCCAACCCGCTGCCCCAGTCCGGGCAGTTTGAACGCCCGGGACCGTGGCGTGCCATGGACCACCGTGAGTGCGCGCCGCGGCCCAGCTCCGTTCTCCGAGAAGGGACGGTGGCTGGCGCCGGCGGCGTCCACGTACGCTCGGCGTGCTCGACGCCTCGACCGGGTCCCGGTGGAGTCGCGTCGTGATGTTGGGCGGCGAACCACCCGAACCACCAGGCCATGATTGGTAACGTAAAACAGCGTGAGGTCCAGGCCTCGTCCTCATCGATTGCGCCTCGAAACCGAATGGAATGCCGTCTGCGGGAAACGGGTGATGCGCAGTTCATGGAGAGCATGCCGGCCGGCCGGTACGAATCTGATCGTCGTCATTTTGTTATCAGTGATGTACTCCTACGTGAGACTGAGGAAATAAAACGGCTCGGGTAGCCTTTTCCTTGTCTTTTTTCTTCTGCAATTGAACACAGTACAATTGCAGACGTCCATATATATGTATATACGCATCACATCTTTCAGAATACGAGCATCAATATCAAGTCTAAGAATTAAACTCTGGTGGGCCTTAATGGTCTCCTTCAGAAAGACAAATTCGCCAAAGGGTCAAAATAAGACAGACAGTTCGGACAAGGTAAAGAAAGACTAAGAGCATGAGCAGCTGCTAATAAGTTAAGCTGTTAATAAAATGACCAAAAGGATGGATGAACCAAGACCATCAGCATCTCATTCTACTGAAACAACACTTTGAGTTATGCATCTGTCGTTGCAAGGAGCACCATCAATCGACGAAGGCAACATTTTTTTTCGCGAGCACGCAAAAGCTTTGCGTATCATTACATTGATAGAAGGAAAGAATAGTAGCAGTTACAGACCTCGCAAGCACGTACACCTGGGAC